GAAGGGCTTTTCCCTTGAAACCAAAGCTCCACATATAATGCTTTAAACTATACTCCATCGCTTTATCCGCGGCAACAACCTCCATCCTCGACTCTCCGGTAATGCAACATCCTCCGGCCTAGCCGCGTACCAAGACTCGGGTGATTGTTAGAAAAGAGGATGTTTGCTTGTTACAGTCGTACAATTCTCACTTTGCTTTCGGACAGCCTTTTTGCCTTGGTACTGCTTCTGCCTTTATCTTCCATAAGGTTTTTGCCTTCGAACAGTCTTCGCGTTCGAAAAGTCTTCGTCTTCAAAGTGCCCTTTGCATTTGCCATCGAAGGGCCTTTACCATCGAATGGCCTTCGCTATCGAAAAGCCCTTTGCCTTTGCCATCGAAGGGCTTTTTCCTTGAAACCAAAGCTCCACATATAATGCTTTAAACTATACTCCATCGCTTTATCCGCGGCAACAACCTCCATCCTAGACTCTCCGGTAATTCAACATCCTCCGACCTAGCCGCGTACCAAGACTCGGGTGATTGTTAGAAAAGAGGATGTTTGCCTGTTACAGTCATACAATTCCCACTTTGCTTTCGGATAGCCTTTTTGCCTTCGTACTGCTTCTGCCTTTATCTTCCATAAGGTTTTTGCCTTCGAACAATCTTCGCGTTCGAAACGTCTTCGTCTTCAAAGTGCCCTTAGCCTTTGCCATCGAATGGCCTTCGCTATCGAAAGGCCCTTGCCTTTGCCATCGAAGGGCCTATTCCTTGAAACCAAGGCTCCTCATATAATGCTTTAAACTATACTCCATCGCTTTATCCGCGGCAACAACCTCGATCCATCCTAGACTCTCTGGTAATGCAACATCCTCCGACCTAGCTGCGTTCCAAGACTCGGGTGATTGTTAGAAAAGAGGATGTTTGCTTGTTACAGTCGTACAATTCCCACTTTGCTTTCGGACAGCCTCTTTGCCTTCGTACTGCTTCTGCCTTTAAGCAGGCTAGTCATTTCTCATTGTTTAATTAACTGCCCCACACTCAAGTAACCACAAAAACTCACAGATGCTGCTTTGCAACATCCGTGAGTCAAGAATTTTCACGAAGCCAAAGGGCACTTTGCCATCGGAAAAATGGCACTTTTTAGGTTTTCTGAGAATTTGGCGGGCTTGGCCACCTTGCCCCCAGTTCCTACTCCCCAGGGTTAATTCAAGCAATATACGTCCGTTTACTGATTATATTGCGCTTTTAGCACGGGCAACGAATAAAATTGTTCAAATTAATGTCGAAATATGCGACCCATAATAGCCAGAAGAAATCGAGTATCCATACAGAAAAGTTTTAACAAATATTGCTGCCCAGAAAAATATGGCTGAAAAGCAAGTGCCCTTTTGAAATGGTTGCCCCCGCCGCTTCACATTGCTTCCGGCGCCCCTGGGTGTAAATATGAAATCAATTATGAATGTTGTTGTAAAGCGTGATTACTGTATAGATAGACAACTTTATGTCCTTAATTAATAATGTGCCATTCATTATCTGCTCAGTAAAAACAAATTAAACCATAAACACAAACAATTTTATTTTGAGTGCAGACGCCGAAGAGCTTAATCAGTTATGCGTATTTTTGTAATTAATTAATAGAAATTGCTAGAAAACGCGGTACAGCTGCGAATGGAACCACATCTATATACTGTAGCTATATAGTAAAGACCTGACCGGTGAACTATATAAATACTGGAACAATAAAGTCTAGGTAAACGTCCCTCTTAAAAGATTGCGGCCTATAGAGTGATCTCTTGTAGGTATAAAGCACGCGTGTTTTTATCAGTTTCGTGGGGACTTCGCGGGAGCTGAAAAATGAACAAAGTTTTCCGATGGATGTTTTTCAATTTTTGCACATATTAAATGCACATTTTCATGGTAAATACCCTACCTAGAAGCTAAAACAAAATTAGAAGGTAAGATTGATGCAGCTGCAGTCCATATTATTCTAGCTGTGTTCAGTTCAGTTGCTTTTTTTCTGAACTCGTTTTTCGCTCCTGAAATAACTTTTCTTTTTATGATGAAGTGTTTCTAAAATTTGCTTATTCTAAAAGACCAGCAATTTACTAGTTTGTCTAGTCTTTTAGGGTGACGACAAAGCTGGACTTACAAAATAGTAGGCAGAAAAATTATGAAATTTCTACATGAAGCGATGCCGATTTTTCGTACGGAATTCAGTACATTTCCGCTTAGGGGCTTAGGGCATACCTACAAGAAGGGCTTCAATTTCCGCCATCTTGGTAATCTTGGCTTCACAGCCTTAGTTAACGTTCCAATTTTTATGGAGTTTGCTGTACCTGACTCGTCCGCAGTCGTTTCTTTACAGAGTATAGAGGTTCAGATTTGATTTCCACTGTCAGCTACCGCCACCATTTTAAGGTACTATCAAGCAATTAGATGAGTTTGATATATTCGGTTATTTCCTCAGCGTGAGGAACCTTTTTCTCAGCGTGAAGAACCTTGTCCTCAGCTTGAGGAACCTTGTCCTCGGCGTGAAGAACCTTGTCCTCAGCGTGAAGAACCTTGTCCTCAGCGTGAGGAACCTTGTCCTCAGCGTGAGGAACCTTGTCCTCAGCGTGAGGAACCTTGTCCTCAGCGTGAGGAACCTTGCTCTTATTTGAGGAACCTTGTCCTCAGCGTGAGGAAACTTGTCCTCAGCGTGACGAACCTTGTTCTCAGCGTGAGGAACCTTGTCCTGAGCGTGAGGAAACCTTGTTCTCAGCGTGAGGAACCTTGTCCTCGGCGTGAAGAACCTTGTCCTTAGCGTGAAGAACCTTGTCCTCAGCGTGAGGTACCTTGTCCTCAGCGTGAGGAACGTTGTCCCGGGCGTGAAGAACCTGTCCTCAACGTGAAGAACCTTGTCCTCAGCGTGAAGAACCTTGTCCTCAGCGTGAAGAACCTTATCCTCAGCGTGAGGAACCTTGTCCTCAGCGTGAGGAACCTTGTCCTCAGCGTGAGGAACCTTGTTCTCAGTTGAGGAACCTTGTCTTCAGCGTGAGGAACCTTGTCTTCAGCGTGACGAACCTTGTCCTCAGCGTGGGCAACCTTGTCCTCAGCGTGGGGAAGCTTGTACTCAGCGCGCGGAACCTTGTCCTCAGCGTGAGGAACATTGTCGTCCTCAGCGTGACGAACCTTGTCCTCAGCGTGAGGAACCTTGTCCTCAGCGTGAGGAACCTTGTCCTCAGCGTGAACAACCTTGTCCTCAGCGTGAGGAACCTTGTCCCCGAGTGAAGAAACTTGTCCTCAGCGTGAAGAACCTTGTCCTCAGCGTGAAGAACCTTGTCCTTAGCGTGGGAACCTTGTCCTTGGTGTGAGGAACCTTGTCCTCGGCGTGAGGAGCCTTGTCCTCAGCGTCAAGAACCTTGTCCTCAGCGTAAGGAACCTTGTCCTCAGCGTGAAGAACCTTGCCCTCGGCGTAAGGAGTTAACCTTGTTCTCAGCGTGAGGAACCTTTTTCTCAGCGTGAGGAACCTTGTTCTCAGCTTGAGGAACTTTGTCCTCAGCGTGAGGAACCTTGTCCTCAGCGTGAGGAACCTTGTCTTCGGCGTGAAGAACCTTGTCCTCTGCGTGAAGAACCTTGTCCTCTGCGTGAGGACTCTTGTCCTCGGCGTGAAGAACCTTGTCCTCGGCGTGAAGAACCTTGTCCTCAGCGTGAGGAACCTTATCCTGAGCGTGAGGAATCTTATCCTCAGCGTGAGGAACCTTGTTCTCTGTTGAGAAACCTTGTCCTCAGCGTGAGGAACCTTGTTCTCGGCGTGAAGAACCTTGTCCTCAGCGTGAGGAACCTTATCCTCAGCGTGAGGAACCTTATCCTCAGCGTGAGGAACCTTGTTCTCTGTTGAGGAACCTTGTCCTCAGCTTGAGGAACCTTGTCCTCGGCGTGAAGAACCTTGTCCTCAGGCTGAAGAACCTTGTCCTCAGCGTGAGGAACCTTGTTCTAAGTTGAGGAACCTTGTCCTTAGCGTGAGGAACCTTGTCCTCAGCGTGAGGAACCTTGTCCTCATCGTGAAGAACCTCGTCCTCAGCGTGAAGAACCTTGTCCTCAGCGTGAGGAACCTTGTCCTCATCGAGAAGAACTTTGTCCTCAGCGTGAAGAACCTTGTCCTCAGCGTGAAGAACCTTGTCCTCAGCGTTTAGAACCTTGTCCTCAGCGTGAGGAACCTTGTCCTCAGCTTGAGGAACCTTGTCCTCAGCGTGAGGAACCTTTCCTCAGCGTCAGGAACCTTGTTCTCAGTTGAGGAACCTTGTCTTCAGCGTGAAGAACCTTGTCCTCAGCGTGAAGAACCTTATCCTCAGCGTGAGGAAACTTGTCCTCAGCGGAAAGAACCTTTTCCTCAGCGTGAAGAACCTTGTTCTCAGTTGAGGAACCTTGTCTTCAGCGTGAGGAGCCTTGTCCTCACCGTGGGGAACCTTGTCCTCAGCGTGGGGAAGCTTGTACTCAGCGTGCGGAACCTTGTCCTCAGCGTGCGGAACCTTGTTCACAGGGTGAGCAACCTTGTTGTCCTCAGCGTGAGGAACCTTGTCCTCAGCGTGAGGAACCTTGTCCTCAGCCTGAAGAACCTTGTCCTCAGCGTGAGGAACCTTGTCCTCCGCTTGAAGAACCTTGTCCTCAGCGTGAAGAACCTTGTCCTCAGCGTGAAGAACCTTGTCCACAGCGTGAGGAACCTTCTCGTCCTCAGCGTGAGGAACATTGTCCTCTTCGTGAGGAACCTTGTCCTCAGCGTGAGGAACCTTCTCCTCGGCGTGAAGAACCTTGTCCTCAGCGTGAGGAACCTTGATCTCACCGTGAACAACCTTGTCCTCAGCGTGAGGAACCTTGTCCTCAGCGTGAGGAACCTTGTCTTCAACTTGGGGAACTTTGTCTTCAGCGTGAAGAACCTTGTCCTCAGCGAGAGGAACCTTTTTCTCGGCCTGAAGAACCCTGTCCACAGCGTGAAGAACCTTGTCCTTAGCATGAAGAACCTTGTCCACAACGTGAGGAACCTTGTCGTCCTCAGCGTGAGGAACCTTGTCCTCTTCGTGAGGAACCTTGTCCTCAGCGTGAGGTACCTTGTCCTCGGCGTGGAGAACCTAGTCCTCGGCGTGAAGAACCTTGTCCTCAGCGTGAGGAACCTTGTCCTCAGCGTGAGGAACCTTGTTTTCAGCGTGAGGAATCTTGTCCTCGGCGTGAAGAACATTGTCCTCAGCGTGAAGAAACTTGTCCTCAGCGTGATTAACCTTGTCCTCAGCGTGAGGAACCTTGTCTTCAGCGTGAGGAACCTTGTTCTAAGTTGAGGAACCTAGTCCTCAGCGTGAGGAACCTTGTCCTCAGCGTGAGGAACCTTGTCCTCAGCGTGAAGAACCTTGTCCTCAGCATGAGGAACCTTGTTCTAAGTTGAGGAACCTTGTCCTTAGCGTGAGGAACCTTGTTCTCAGCGTGAGGAACCTTGTCCTCAGCGTGAAGAACCTTGTCCTTAGCGTGAGGAACCTTGTCCTCAGCGTGAGGAGCCTTGTCCTCAGCGTGAAGAACCTTGTCCTCATCGTGAAGAACCTTGTCCTCAGCGTGAAGTACCTTGTCCTCTGCGGGAAGAACCTTATCGTCAGCGTGTAGAACCTTGTCGTGAGCGTGAGGAACCTTGTCCTCAGGCTGAGGAACCTTGTCCTCGGCGTGAAGAAACTTGTCCTCAGCGTGAAGAACCTTGTCCTCAGCGTGAGGAACCTTGTCCTCAGCGTGTGGAACCTTGTTCTCAGCGTGAAGAACCTTGTCCTCAGCGGGAGGAACCTTGTTCTCGGCGTAAAGAACCTTGCCCTCAGCGTGAAGAACCTTGTCCTCAGCGTGAGGAACCTTGTTCTCAGCGTGAAGGGCCTTGTCCTCAGCGTTAGGAATCTTGTCCTCAGCGTGAGGAACCTTGTTGTGAGCGTGAGGCACTTTGTCCTCAGCGTGAGTAACCTTGTCCTCAGCGTGAAGATCCTTGTCCTTAGCGTGGGGAACCTTGTCCTCAGCGTGAAAAACCTTGTCGTCAGCGTGAAGAACCTTGTCCTCACCGTGAAGAACCTTGTCCTCAGCATGAGGAACCATGTCGTCAGCGTGAGGAACCTTGTTCTCAGCTGAGGAACCTTGTCCTCAGCGTGAGGAAACTTGTCCTCAGCCTGAGGAACCTTGTCCTCAGCGTGAGGAACCTTGTCCTCAGCGTGAGGAACCTTGTCCTCAGCGTGAGGAACCTTGTCGTCACCGTGAAGAACCTTGTCCTCAGCGTGAGGAACCATGTTCTCAGCGTGAGGAACCTTGTTCTCAGCTGAGGAACCTTGTCCTCAGCGTGAGGAAACTTGTCCTCAGCGTGAGGAACCTTGTCCTCAGCGTGAGGAACCTTGTCCTCAGCGTGAGGAACCTTGTCCTCAGCGTGAGGAACCTTGTCCTCAGCGTGAGGAACCTTGTTCTCAGCGTGAAGATCCTTGTCCTTAGCAAGAATAACCTTGTTCTCATCGTGAAGAACCTTGTCCTCAGCGTGGGAACCTTCTCCTCAGTCAACGTCGTACCAGGGTTTTATTTTCGCTCACCACCCGCTGCGAGAAAACGCTTGTCCAGTCTGGTCACGTGACACTTTAATTTCCTATGTCCCTTGGGGGGGGGGGTGTCCGTGCGTCAAAATATAATTACTTCGGCATTATCGTATTGGCAATATTTTATAGCAGTCTTGAAACCTAAGCAAGTGAAGCGTTTGGAAGCAATATATTTTGGTGGAGACGTTGTAGCTGTGTCACCTACGGGTTACGGAAAGTCACTTATTTTTCATCTTCTGCCCTCGCTTTTTTACGACAAGTTCAATGGTGGAGACGAACGGCTGACGAGTGCGTCAATATACTATCCAGTGGTTATTGTAATATCGCCGCTAAATGCTCTCATCGAGAATCAAATTAAAAGAAGCTAGGAAGGAAATATAAAGGCAGGGGTGTTGAATGTCAAAAAAGGGAAAGAAACCGACGATTTGCGTTTGGATTTTACTTGCGCCAATTCGCTGCTCAAAGATGGAAAGTACGGCATTATTTACATGCATCCCGAGGCATTCCGATCCTGTCTTGTAAGGAAGGAATGGAATTATTACAGAGCAAGCCTTATCAGGAATCCGTTCAATCAATTATTGTAGATGAAGCTCACTGTATTTTAGAATGGTAAGTTAGTAAATGTATAGTAAAAAATGTTTTATAGAAATTATACAACATTAATTTTTCAATAACGCATTGACGTCAACTTGTAAAAATATTAATTATTTGTCTTTAATATTGTTTTGCAGGGGACTTGACTTGAGGAAAGATTATTCAAATTTGGCAATGTTGTGTGCTACGTTCCCTACCGTCCCTGTTGTTGCCCTCACTGCTACAGCAAGCAAGGCAGATGTTATATTAATTAAGGAATCTTTAAATTTGAAAAAACCAGTGGAAATCGCAGCTAATCCTGCCAAGCCAAATATATTTTATGAAAATATCATCAGAAAGGGCAATGACCTTGAATTTTTTCAGGAACTTCTACACAACCAACTGTTTTACTTAAAAAGTAATTGGATTACCCTTTGACCATTTTGTACCTGCCACTAAAATGGTGTGGCTATGCCTTCAAGTATCTTGCTAAACATTTGGGCAAGGAACAGTACTATCCTCTTGATGCTGAAGCAATACCCGAAAATAGGCTGTTTGCCCAATTTCATTCTCCCCAGACAAATGCTTTGAAGAATCAGATTCTCACTGAACTCTCTTCACCATTGTCAAAATTGAGAGTTGTATTTGCAACTGTTGCATTGGGAATGGGCATTGATATACCATGTATAAGACATGTTATTCATGTTGGGCCACCACATACAATTAGAGAATATTTTCAGGAGACCGGGCGAGCAGGTCGTGATAAGAAACAATCAACAGCTGTCTTATACTACAACAAGCGTGATATTGCAATGAGCCGGCCTGGAATTAGTGACGGTATTCATGAATACTGCAAACTTGAGGACAGCTGCCTTAGGATGTTTTTGTTGGGCTGTCTTGACGTTCATGATGTCATGAAAGACAACCCTCATGTTTGTTGTAGTTATTGTAAAATGCAGTGTAAATGTTCAGAATGTACAACATAACAAATGCACCGTATAATTAGAAGTCACGTCTAGCAAAACAATCAAAGGAACAATTACTAGGATGCTACTGTCTATCAAAGTAAGCAAACAAACCATTTCTTTACCAGATGAAAAATAATAAATTTAATTGTGCCCTATTTATTAGGTCATTCCAGAAAACATCCATACTGTACCTCAGGCCCCATATCTCTATCCCCTTTAGATGTCCTAATACACTTACTATTATCAGAAACAATTTTCCCCCCTCTCCCTCTGGACAGGAGAAATTTCCTCCTTGGTGGGAGTGTGAATCTTTTCTAGAATGACCCATTGTGTGGTCTATACAAAACATTAATAGGCATCTTACCAACTAAACTCAAATCCTTATCAATAACAATGCATATTTTCCACCTGTCTGCTAAATGGGAATAAAACTGGAAATTGGTTCTACTGTGGTCACATACTAGCATTTTGGGCCATTGATATGAACAATATATAACTGTAGCACTAGCCATGTTTCCACAATACAGACTTCGCCCATATCTGAACACCAATGGTCATTATAAGATTAAAAATATGTTTTTGTCATGTCAAATTGTTATCCTGAATATCCAGTTTTTTTCAGATATTCCTAAGTAGAATATGCATGCTAACTTTATTTGACTAACTTACTGTAATGATACTGTAGAAATGGGCAGATAGTCTGGCAAAACCTATGAATGCATACTGTAGTTTAGAATTTGTCTTTCTTTGTTCATCTGATATTAGGTAGATAATCGCCCGTATTCTAAAAGCTCACTCGCACTAACACTCAATGAGTGGAGGTTCAATTGGAGCTTTTCTCGAGTGTCATTTCTGTTTTTGAATAGCTGGAGGGTTAGTGCCATACCGTACTATGCGGCTATTCACCCTCCAGCTATTCAAAAACAGAATTGACACTCAAGAGAAGCTCAGATTGAACCTCCACTCATTGAGTGTGAGTGTGAGTGAACTTTTAGAATACAGACGAATGTCTTTGGTAGTTTGGTGCTAAACAGAGTAAATATTGTAGTAAATATAATTCTAGCCAATTTAGGCATTAACCCTTTAAGTGGGAATGCACCCTCACATGCCCTACTTTAGTATTTTACTTTGTCTAATGCCAGACAATTTTACTCACCAAGGGAATAGGGTTGACACTCAATGGGTTAATCAGACTATCTGCCCATGCATGCTGTCAAACCTCGCATGCCCTACTTTAATAGTTTACTAATACTCTGTCCAATGCCATAGTATTTTACTTTGTCTAACACTAGACGATTCTACTCGTCTAGGGGAGAGTGCTGCTTGACACAATGGGTTAATATGTCAACCTATTAACGTGCAATACTCTCCTCTTGAGTAAAATCATCGGGCATTAGACAGAATGAAATAAAAGTAATTCACATTTGAGTGCATTGCAACTTAATGAGTTAATACCAGTATTCAACATTTGATTTAGCTTTGATGAGACATTACATTAGTCTGCAATGTTTATAAGTCATCTTCGTCAAATTCATGTTCATAAAATTCCTCTTCAGCTATGTCATCTTCATCCATTTCATCTTCATCCAATTCAATTGGAGACTCTAACATCAGATTTTCCTTATGTCTCTGAAGCCATTCATCTAATTCCTTTTCATCAAGGGTTTCCAAAGGATTTTATTTTATTTTACGAAATGATGCATGCTTTCTATTCGCTTGAATGGAGAATGGTTTTAAAATGCGAAGGTCACTTAAAACTTTTGATTCGTCTTTTAAAGATGATGCATGACTGTGTGATGATGACTTTGCTTCTCGGTAAACCATGTAATCAAAGTTTTCTGCAATCTTCCTTGCTCCGCCTACAGCTCTGCTCGCATTATCAATGGCCTTGTCAGTTTTATTGGCACCCATTCCTTTTATCAGCTTTTTTAAATCTCTGTTTCTGTTCTCTTGGAGTAGATCAATTTCTACATTTCTTTGAGCACCACCTTTCCAGTTTGCCGTTGATGCCCAAATGCATTGGTGGGACTGTGCTGGAGAAAGAAACACCATGTTTTGTACCACATTGATAAGCATCTCAATTGCATATGAGTTGAATCCTTGTACAGACTTGAAGTGAAGAAGTAGTTGCTTGTGCAGGGTTGCAAGCCTCTCTCCATTGCCTTCATGAACTGCATCCTTCATATCATGCAGTACAAAAAAGTACTGCAGTAAACATATGGAATAGTTGTTGACAAAGTCATTCTCATCTGAATCACCGCCGGTCATATTTGCAAGAAGAAATTGATTGATGAATTCATCTAGAACATCTTCATAATACTTCTCAATTTCTTCTCTTCCCATTTCATTTATGTTGGATGGTGGTTTGTGCTTGGTAGGATGGTCATCTTGGTTTTCCATACCAAAGAATTGGATCAATGCTTCAATTGTGAAGCATTTGCCCCAAACTAAGAAAGAATTGCTCACAATCTTCATAGTGTTTAACATCCTTTGTCACGTTTCGTCTCTGAAGCTTTTCTCGAAAATATCTCACTGTTCCTTGCTCACGTGCTGAATTCTTGTAGAGCTTATGGAATATAACCTAAATATTTAAACATGATGTTAGAATATTGCATTATTTTTTTATTTACAAAGAAATATATTAATTAAATATCATCCAGAATCCACTCCCCTCCCCACAGAGGAATTTTTTGCCGTACAGAAGGGGAGGGAGGGTTACATAAAAATTTGTTTCTGATAATAGTAAATGTATTAAGTACAGTCGGTAAGGGATAGAGGTAACCGGTTAAACTTCCAATTTCCTCCATAGGCGAGGCATGGATGTTTTCTGGAATTTCCCATTTTAGTCCTTTAAGTGGTAATGCATCCTGATGCACCATCAAGGAAAGAGTGCTACCACCTAATGGGTTAATCTTTTATATTACAAACAACACATAAATGTAAAAGTGGGTGGTGCCAGAAATTCCCTGACAGCGGGGATATGATCCCTGGGGGGGGGGGGGTCTTGCAAATTTTTTTGATAATCCAAAATTTTGGGCTCTGTTTGAATTTTGGACCCCAACATTTTCCTAAGATACTTGTCGAAGGTGGGAGAACTAAAATTTGTTAAAAATGTAGACAAGAATTTTTCCTGGAAATAACATATCCTCCTATCTACATTAGTTAAAACTGTTTGCGGCAACCATAGACAGATTTTCATATTTTTTACTGGGGTGGTGCCAGAAATTTTAGGGGGGTGAGCCGCGAGCAGGTGACTGAAGCAACACAAAGTGTCACGAAACCCCAGTAAGGTCTATATTCTAGGGGTGGAGCACTAGAGCCCCGAGGGAGAGTCTAGAGAGCAGAAAACAAAGTATCCCTGGAAAAATTTGAAAAAATCATGATTTCTAGCTTCCAAAAAACGTTTTTTGAAGTTGTCATATCAATGGATTTGGCCTGTCCGATTGTCTGTTGAGACTTGAGAGAGTTAAAGTTAAATGAACCTGTAAAAGTGTAAACCCAATAGGCCAATACACAATATGCTTTTACTTTTATAAGGTCATTGACATTGTGTCGTTTGAATCCGAGTACAATTTATGATGCAACTCCGATGCAAATAATATTTGGGGCGTAAAGATTAAATCTAGGCAAGACTATTTCCTAAAAGAATTAAAAACTAAAAATAATGTTCGTAAAATTTCAAAATGTTCCTTGCAAGCAAGCTATTTGCATGACAAGGCACTGCAAACTCTATTCAGGGGAGATAATAGAGTTTCAAAATTTTACAATTGCTCCAATAAACCAGTGAATGCAAGCGAGGAGCAATTAGTTTCAGAGTATTGCACTGTCTTTTTCTATTTGAGTGTACTCCTACGTTTATTTTGTATCATCAACAATCTGCACGTTGGATTGGACTATTTAATTATTTTTTATTATGCCGAATATTGGGGGGGTTGGAAATTTTTTGGAGGGGTGGACATTTTGTTTGGGGGTTATAGCTAATATTGGGGTAGCACCCCCCTGCACCCCACAAAATCCGTCTATGGCGGCAACACCCGCAGTCGGCTCGGTGTTGCCCCTGAAATATTATGAATTAATCGGTTCACAGCAAACATAACTTTAATGCCTGGTCAACGTAAGTTTATAATATTTAACAACATGCATGCAAAAGCGGCTCACAATTGTCGGCCATATGGGCCATACTGTACTTTGTTAAAAATTTAATGTATAATTTACCCTTTTTCCATATTGGCATCATTTTTACCTGTGTTTGTTGGCAGTTCCCTGATGAATTTCTTAATTTTTCCTGATGAGGTGGGGGATGGGGCTATATTCCCGGGGGCTTATGACAAAGTGGTAAACTGAGGCAGGCATGGGCAAATAGTTGGTCTGTTGGGTTAGCTCATCAATTCATTAAGCTGCAATGTACCCAAATGCTGCTTACTTTATTGTTTTACTCTAGTGGCGGACAATTTTACTCATCAAAAGAGAGTGATGCCACTCATTTGTTATACCCAACACTCCCTCTGATGAGAATCAGTAGCGTAGCCAGCTCGATTTAGTCCTGCCATGCAAATATTTTCATGTTCATTGACTATTTAAGAAATGAATAATGATAATTTTGAATTTTCATAACCGGACTAAATTGTCGGGCTAGTTTTAGCCACTGACCATCTGGCATTATAAACAGAGTACAATAACACACTTGTATCAATCTTACGAAGCTTCAAAAGTATTTCAGAGTTGCTTCATATGTGCTGTGAACAGATTAATGCTTTCTCTATATAAGCAGTATGTATGATGCTAGGCACACAGATAGTAAAAGCTAACATATACAGGCAAACACCCTTCTCACAATCACTCGAGTCTATGCCGGAGGACGTTGCAGCGGTTAAAGCGATGGAGTAGTTTGAAGCATTGTAAGTGGAACGTTCGCTTCAAGGAAAATGCCCTTTGAAAGCAAAGAGAAGCCTAGGGCACTTTGAAGCAAAAGCTATTCGATGGCAAAGGCCGTTGAAAGGCGAATGTCTTATGAAGATAAAGGCAAAAGCGTTTCGAAGGCAAAGTATGAATTGTACGACTGTAAAAAGCAAACAATCCTCTTAATTTTCGGACAATCACTCGAGCCTTGGCACGGCTGGGTTGCAAGATGTCGCATTACCAGAGAGTCAGAGGACGGAGGATGAAGACGACGGAGGATAAGGAGGACGGAAGATGTTGCCGCGCTTAACGCGATGGAGTACTTTGAGCGTTGGCTTCAAGGAAAACGCTCCTCGAAGGCAAAGGCGAAGGCCCTATAATGGCAAAGGAGCTTCGATGGCAATTGCAAGAGCACTTTGAAGGCAAAGACCCTTCGATGGCAAGGGCGAAGGCCCTTCGAAGGCAAAGAGAGTTGGCAGGCAAAGGTCTTATTAAGATAAAGGCAAAAGCTTTTCGAAGGCAAAGTGTGAATTTTACGACTGAAACAAGCAAACATCCTCTTTACTCACAACCAATCGAGTGTTGGTACGGCTGGGTCGGAGGATGTTGCATTACCAGAGAGTCTAGGTCGGAAGATGTTGCAGCGGTTTAACTGGTTGAGAAATTTGAAGCATTATATGCGGAGCGTTGCCTTGAAAGAAAATGCCCTTCGAAGGCAAAGGCAAATGCGCTTCGACAGCAGTTTTGATGGCAGGAGCCCTTTGATGGCAAACACCAAGGCAGGCACTTCGAAAGCAAAGGTAATTCAAAGGCAATAGGCCTTGGAAGGCAAGGGCAATGAGAAGTTCCTTCCAAGGCAAAGGCCCTTGGAAAGGCAAACGCCTTTGGAAACAATGGCGTAGTTTTAAGCATTATATGTGGAACGTTGGTTTCAAAGCAAAGCAAAGCAAAGCGAAGCAATTCAAAGGCAAAGGGCCTTGGAAGAGCAATGTCGTAGTTTGAAGCATTATATGTCCATTATAGGCTCCAAGGAAAAGGCCTTTTGATGGGAAAGGCCTTCGAAGTCCTCGGTTTCGCCTCGGACTTGATCAAATTGCGCGGACTTGAAATCTTGTCCAGTCCTCGTTGTCGGATTTGAAATATTACCTAAAAAGGTTTCTACATATTTTTTAAAAGTTCTTTCAAATTGGGCAAACTAATTAGATATTTCCGTATTTCTTTAATCATGCAAGTACCTAAGCAACTTGGCAGTCAAGCACGTGTACAAAACTAAAAGTAATTATATTAAAGGTTATACTTACATGTTCCCTGCTGGCAGAGGTCTCCATTATAGAGATCTCTGCCAGCAGGGAAACTTACATGTTGAAATCAAGTCGACATATTACCGAATTTTGTAGTCTTGTCTTTTAAATTAAGTAGCTCGAATCTTCAGCTTACAAGCAAGAAGCCGCGGTACATGAGGGGGCATTGGGGCATGCAGGTGCCCTTTTTCCCAGCAATTAGAGGAATTATAAATGCCCCCTTAATAGCTAAGAAGTCAACAACGTAGACAAGGACAGACATAAAGAGTTATATAAAAGACTTTGTTATCAAAAACGACCGAAATTTGCTGGCAATTCTCTTCAAATTTTATGGTTAATTAATAGGTTCATATTCAGTTTAGGACGCAGAGCTATTAGTAGAGAATACGTATAACATCCGACATGTTAAATTTATATTCGGCGGAGTGCATTGTTTTATAAGATGTTAAATTAATATTCGGCGGAGTAGTGTATTGTTTCTTCTTGTAGTTCGCGAAATTGTCGGCTGCAGCATGCAGGTAAAGGATTTTTTGCTTACAAATATGACAATGGAGTGAATGGACAGATATTGATTCTCTGCAGTCAAGAGTCTCCGACGTTGCCAAGAAAATGACATGCATGTCTTAATGGATGATTCCAGCTATAGTCTATACATTTTATCCAGACAAGAAGGACGAAATCTATCATTATATAGCTTAGAAGAATTGCACATCCTTAAATTTAGTAAAATTGTCAAATTTGGTTGCCGAAAAAGTTGTAAAATAAGGAAAATATAGGCCTGTGAAATTAGCAAATTTTGAGTATTTTACACAACATTTTGCAACCAAACTTTGCAATTTTACTAATTTTAGGATGCTATTTTGAGCTATGCCTATAATGACAAATTTCGTCTTTCTTGTCTAGATAAAAAATTAGTCGATAGCTGGAATCATCCATTATATTGTCTATCCCTTTGTGACCAGAAATCCAGAAAGGATTTTCGCTCTTCATGGTCACGACCTCAAGCCACTCTTCCAGTCGCCAAACAGGCAACGCTGGTGTAAATATGAAATCAATTATGCATGTTGTTGTGAATGATGACTGTGTGCATAGACATTATCTGCTCAGTAAAAACAAATTAAACCATCAACTCAAACACTTTTTATTTTGAGTGCAGACGTCGAAGAGCTTAGTCAGTAACTGCATATTTTTTGTAATTAATTAATAGAAATTGCTAGAAAACGCGGTACAGCTGCGAATCGAACTACATCTATTATATACGATGAAGGCCAGTATAAAATCTATGAAATTTTTCTGAACTCGGGTGTCGTAGGCTACCTGACCGGTGAACTCTATAAAACTGGAACAATGACTCCAGGTAAACGGCCCTACGATTGGGTAAAGAGAATTAAGGTTGCGGCCTATATAGAGTGATCTCTTGCATGTAGGTAAAGGATTATTTGCTTACAAATATGACAATGGAATGAATGGACAAATATTGATTCTTTGCAATCAAGAGTCTCCGAACTAATTGCATGTCAAGAAAATGACATGCATGTCTTAACTATGTTGTCTAAAAAATCACGACCTCTGGCCACTCTTCCAGTCGCCAAACAGGCAACGCTGGTGTAAATATGAAATCAATAATAGGTATAAAACACGCGTGTTTTTATTTCGCCGGTATTTCGCGCGGGGGCTGGAAAAGGAATAAAGTTTTCCGATCGATGTTTTTTAATTGTTGCACATATTAAACGATCGGTTTAATGTTAATACCCTACCTAGAAGCTAAAAACTAAATGAAAAGGATCTTTTCAAAAGGTAAGATTGATGCAGCTGCAGTCCACCATATTATTCTGATCTGCATGTTCAATCGATCCTCAGGATCCAGGATCCCGAGACCCTACTTTTTTCCAGGTCTGCCGCATGGTTCAGTTTCTGAACTTGTTTTCGAATTTTCACTCGTCAAATAACTTTGCTTTTTATGACTCGTATATGCAGTCGATCGTTTCTTTAAAGAATAGGTGTTCAGATATATGACTTCCAATACCGCTACCCATTAAGGGACCATCAACCAATCAGATTCGTTTGATATATTCGATTAACCAATCAGATGCGTGCTAAGCCAGTTAGATGTAGTGGAAGTCAAATCCGAACCTCTGTAGTACCAATGAGGACCGGTATAGGCCACAATCACATCAATCAATTAAAACTATGTGCTAAAGACTATAAATCTTAAAATCACTCCATTAAAAGGTAGCCATCTATTTTAAATGTCATGCCCATGATAGTTTAAATATTGGAATATGGTTCAATTCTATCATATTTATAACATTTGCAGATATGGGGAGAATAGGTAGTCTGGGGCCAGACGGAAAGATCACTGCATATGCATGACGTATATACTGCATGTAGACGAAATATGTCAAACGAAAGCTTGCTATACACAACGCGCTTATCCACAAGAATTTTCTGGAATATTTCCCAGCATGAAAACAAGAATGTTACACCAAAAATACCTCATAACCTTTAATTGTGCGTTTCCACATGGTATTGACGTGAAGAGTATTCGACCGCCGCGTGAACCAAAACTATGCAAAGATAATCCAGTATGGAACCATCCTCAGAGATACGAAAAACTAGTTTCATATTAATCTGACACTGCAATCGACCAACGAAAAATTCGCTGGCTCGAGCGGGATTTGAACTCGCATCTTCGGGTATCTAGACCACCGCTCTACCTATTGCGCTATCAAGTCAATAATCCAGTATGGGATTTCGGAGATAATCTTTCCATAACATCTACTCCCCCCCACAGGCATCTCTATGCATGCGTTTAGCCTAGTTTGGAAATTCCCCTCCCCAATCCACCCGATTCCCTAGAGACACCTGTCCCGGAGACTACAGCCAATGAGCTCAATATATATAACTGGAGCGAGAACTGGAGTGTTAACCGCGCAGACAAAAACAATAGAAAGGGATTGGAACTGACGTCCTAATAGCCCCTTCAATTTCCGCCATCTTGGTAAAGAGTGTGCCGAAGTTTCGTATTTTGACATCGATTTAAAGAATAACACTATGGTTTTATGAACTGATAACTTGATAGTGATATGGTCCGTTAGAAAAAAACCAGATTTAGCTGGGAAAAATGGTATAAAAACTGTTTACGACCATCAGAGTTATTGGACGTCAATGGCCGCCATCTTCGCTTCACTTTTCTCAAAGGCCCAATGACTGCAGTTCTTGCTCCAGATATGTAGAGAGCTCACTAATTCCCATGCACCATCTGTTATCACCATGAGCTGGCCTGTGAAGCTTAGTGTCACCGGCCTCAACCAGTGATCTCTATGTAAACCTGAACGATAACTCAGGGGGGGGGGGGATTAAGCCAGTGCATTTTAGTTTTTTCTGAGTTTTAAGCAGAAATACTCAACAGTGAACGTTGTGCTGTATATGAAACTGAAGCTATTGAAAACTGCTATTTGGTGTAGAAATTCCAAGACTTTAGCTAAAAGGGAAATATTAAAAAACTACAAAAATACTTCCCAATAGTTTGCTATTTTTTGGCCGAATGGCAGTTATTTTTGTATTTTTAAAATATTTTTCTTTTCGCTTGAAATTTCCAAACTTTCGTCTTGAAATTTCCACACCGAAATTTCGGCACTTGAAAGTGTCCTTGCCTTTGCCATCGAAGGGCCTCTTCCTTGAAACCAAGGCTCCACATATAATGTTTTAAACTATACTCTCCATCGTTTACTCCGCGGCAACAACGTCCATCCTACACTCTCCGGAAATCCAACTTCGTCAGACCTAGCCGTACCAAGACTCGGGTGATTGTTAGAAAAGAGGATGTTTGCTTGTCACAGTCGTACAATTCACACTTTGCTTTCGGACAGCCATTCTGCCTTCGTGTACTGCTTATGCATTTATCTTCATAAGGTTTTGCCTTCGAACAATCTTCGCGTTCGAAACGCCTTCGTCTTTGCCTTCAAAGTGCCCTTGCATGCTTTTGCCATGGAAGGACCTTTGCCATCGAAGGGCCTTTTCCTTGAAACCAATTAAGGCTCCACATATAATGCTTAAAGCTGCTACATCGCTTTTTCCGCCGCGGCAACGTCCATCCTATAGACTCTCCGGTAATGCAATATCCTCTGACCTAGCCGTACCAAGACTCGAGTGATTGTGAGAAAAGAGGATGTTTGCTTGTTACAGTCGTACAATTCACACTTTGCTTTCGGACAGCCTTTTTGCCTTCGTACTGCTTCTGCATTTATCTTCATAAGGTTTTTGCCTTCAAAGTGCCCTTGCATGCTTTTGCCATAGAACGGCCTCTTCCTTGAAACCAATTAAGGCTCCACATATAATGCTTAAAACTACTCCATCGCTTTTTCCGCAGCAGCAACGTCCATCTTATAGACTCTCCGATAATGCAATATCCTCCGACCTAGCCGTACCAAGACTCGAGTGATTGTGAGAAAAGAGGATGTTTGCTTGTTACAGTCGTACAATTCACACTTTGCTTTCAGACAGACTTTGCCTTTGAACAACTTTTCCCTCCACCTTCGTAAGGTTTTTACCTTCGAAAGGCCTTCGCTTTGATGACAAAGGCCTTTCGACGGCAAAGGCCCTTCGATGGCAAAAGCAATGCCACTTTGGAGGCAAAGAACCTTTGATGGCAAAGGCAAAAAGGCGCTTCGCAGGCAAAGACCCTTCGATGGCAATGAAAAGGCAAAGACCCTTCTCAGCGTGAGGAACCTTGTCCTCAGCGTGAGGAACCTTGTCCTCAGCGTGGGGAACCTTGTCCTCAGCGTGGGAAGCTTGTACTCAGCGTGCGGAACCTTGTCCTTAGCGTGCGGAACCTTGTCCTCAGCGTGAGCAACCTTGTCCTCAGCGTGACGAACCTTGTCCTCAGCGTGAGGAACCTTGTCCTCAGCGTGAGAAACCTTGTTCTCAGCGTGAGGAACCTTGTCCTCAGCGTGAGGAACCCTGTCCTCAGCATGAGGAACCCGGTCCTCAGTGCAGGAACCTTGTCCTCAGCGTGAGGAACCTTGTTCTCAGCTTGAGGAACCTTGTCCTCAGCGTGAGAAACCTTGTTCTCAGCGTGAGGAACCTTGTTCTCAGCGTGAGGAACCTTGTCCTCAGCGTGATGAAACCTTGTCCTCAGCGTGAGTAACCTTGTCCTCAGCGTGAGGAATCTTGTGCTCAGCTTGACGAACCTTGTCCTCAGCGTGAGAAACCTTGTCCTCAGCGTGAGGAACCTTGTCCTCAGCGTAAAGAACCTTTTCCTCAGCGTGAGGAACCTTGTCCTCCGCGTGAGGAACCTTGCCGTCAGCGTGAGGAACCTTGTCCTCAGCGTGAGGAACCTTGTCTTCAGCATGAGGAACCTTGTCCTCAGCGTGACCAACCTTGTCCTCAGCGTGAGGAACCTTGTCCTCAGCGTGAGGTACCTTGTCCTCAGCGTGAGGAACCTTGTCCTCGGCATGAGGAACCTTGTCCTAAGCGTGAGGAACCTTGTCCTCGGCGCGAGTAACCTTGTCCTCAACGTGAGGAAACTTGTTCTCAGCGTGAGGAACCTTGTCCTCAGCGTGAAAACCTTGTCCTCAGCGTGAGGAACCTTGTCCTCAGCGTGAGGAACCTTGTCCTCAGCGTGAGGAACCTTGTCCTTAGCGTGAGGAACCTTGTTCTCAGCGTCAGGAACCTTGTCCTCAGCGTGAGGAACCTTGTCCTCAACGTAAGGTACCTTGTTCTCAGCGTGAGGAAACTTTTCCTCAGCGTGAGGAACCTTGTCCTCCGCGTGAGGAACCTTGCCGTCAGCGTGAGGAACCTTGTCCTCAGCGTGAGGAACCTTGTCTTCAGCATGAGGAACCTTGTCCTCAGCGTGAGCAACCTTGTCCTCAGCGTGAGGAACCTTGTCCTCAGCGTGAGGTACCTTGTCCTCAGCGTGAGGAACCTTGTCCTCGGCATGAGGAACCTTGTCCTAAGCGTGAGGAACCTGGTCCTCGGCGCGAGTAACCTTGTCCTCAGCGTGAGGAACCTTGTTCTCAGCGTGAGGAACCTTGTCCTCAGCGTGAAGAACCTTGTCCTCAGCGTGAGGAACCTTCTCCTCAGCGTGAGGAACCTTGTCCTCAGCGTGAGGAACCTTGTCCTC